GGACAGGACAAATGGAGAAATATGAGTGTCATGGCGAATGGGTGGGAATCGCGTGAAAAGTCTAGGTTAGCCGTTAAAAGGATTCCTAAACAGGAAGACAACTCACTTGTCATTACCACCTCACAGCAAAGTGATGATGAAATGGTGGATGTTAAGCATTTTTCTACCACCGGCTCCTCTGCGCTGCAAGTTGTTACTACCCCTGCTCCAAAAAGACCTAATGTAAGGTTAGAAATTATCATCTATGTCTGTTTGCTCCATCTTATCGTTCTTATAAGTCCACTGATAACGGCGATGTTTATATCATTTGAATCTATTGGTATAGACACTTCATAACCTTTTTAAATGTTGCAGGCTGGATAGCCTTATAATGGAAGCAATAACTACCTTGAAAGAGCCTGGTGGCTCTAACAAAACAGCAATTGGTGCCTACATTGAGGTATTCAGTTTTAATCCTTATTTGCTTTTTCTTATTCAAAGACATTATATATTGTTAAATTGTTGTCTGCAGCTAAATAGCATCGTGCCACATTTCAGTTTGATGGTCTCCAGTGGGTTGAATATGTTGTCTACTAGAATTTCTGAAGTCATCATTGGTTATACTCTTTGGGTTGGAAACTTAGAATATCATAAGAGTAGATTCTGTATTTATTTCATAGACATGTCAAGGATGTAACTCTTTCGCAAACATGTGAATTTAAGTTTTACATGTACTATTGCCATTTTTAAGGTAGGGTTTCTGTTATAGCTTCACTAAGACTATGTAGTTTGATGATTAAATTTTACACTCTGTCTTCTTGTTTTTTTCCTGTATTGATATTCTTGGTTAGTTCCTCGTAAAAGACTGAGTCAGGAATATGATCATACTGTGTTCCTTGTATTTGGTTGTATAGGAACAATATCACGCTCCGCTAGACTTCAAACGGGTGCTGTCTACCAAGCTAAAGTACTTGACAGCTTGTGGTAAACTTGTGAAGGTAATAAGACTACCGTTTATAAATAATAACCACTGGTATCTTGTACATAG